GGAGGCAGGCCGAAAAGTGCGTTCGCGCAAAGTCCTGCTCTGAGTGACCTTGCCTGTGACGTCAAGAGTTAGCAGGGCGTCGGGCAGCTGTGACAACTACTACACTTCTTCCATATCAAAGTGCATCCAATAAGTACTGGACCTCTTTGCATAAGAATTATCCTTATCAGATACAGTCTTTAAAGTTAAGTTTGTGCTAGAATTTGACATTTAAGACGAGAGACGTAAGTGTCTCAGTGATTGATTTTACGTCGTATCAGTCGCTTCTTGAGACTTGCCTTTTTGCTTATTCTTTGGTTGTTTTCGACTGTTTCTGTTCTCTCGAGACTCATATTACTGTGCAGGCCTGATAATAAATAGTAGATGAAGTACGTTAGTCGAACGTGATTTTTTTACTTAATTCTCACTAAAACGTGGCCGCTAGCAAACTGAAAATCAAACCTATCCAAATTTAATTCAGGGAACCTGGTTTAAAAAACGGAATAAATTCGAAGTCTGGACAGGTGTCCTTATAACGGATTCAGGGATAACTTAGGTTGCCTGTCTAGGCAAAGAGGAAGTTCAACACAGCAATTAAATGACATTGTTCTTTGCTTTATGGCTGGGTTTCCCCTTTCTTTAAACTTCTTTAAATTGAATTTCTGGCTCATCGTGAATATCGCATCGCACAGATGAACATGCCAATTTTTCTTCTTTCTCAGCGATATACTTCGGATGTTTATAAGCTTTTGACCGATATCAACTAAAATTCTGAAATGTGTTTTCGATTCGAACAAGCTATTTAAACAGAGTTTTAAGATTGGTTATCGTGCGGTCTCACATCAAGATATTTCAGTCCCCTCAGCCAGTCGGCTTTTTGAACGAATTTCTTTCAGGCCACATGTAAGCTTCATAGTCTACAAAAAAAACTACTTAAGTAGCATGCATTGTTTCCTTAACATCTTATGCCCCTATAAATTCAAGTATATTTTCTAGAAACCATCTACAAAAATATACATTCGTTTACCAGTTTAATCGCGAATTACGCCTACTTTAAAATTTAAACCCTAACGAATGGGTATCTTTAAGTTTTGAAAGTCTCTCTAAATTAACGAATAGTTTTGAAAGTTACTGGCCTCTACACTTTCGCTCAAGGTTTACAAACCACATATTGTACCCTGTGTCTGATAGCCGGACAGGTACAAAAGAACGTTAATGACTCTGCATATTTTCAGGTCCTTAAGATGTCTCTGCTTCCGGAGACCTTTCACAGTGCCATTGATTACCCCCCTAACAGAAAGTACCTCCTTAACAGCACCGTGGGACCCGAAGTGCCTCCCACTGGGGTTGTGGATCTATCCAAATGTCTAGCAGTGGGGAACTTGCAAGTTCCAATCTTCGGCTCACTACCCTTCTTTCGGGATGCTTCGGTAGAAGTGTCCGAGAAGGTAGATTTTTTGACCACGCCACCCCTGGGATCAGATATTGATTTGAAAGTAGAACCAGTGAGTCCGCTTTCGATTTTGATACCCCTTAACTGTATCCTAAACCCAATCCTTGGCTGGGTATTGTTTGATGGTATAATATAAACCGACAACAGAACATGCTTAATATCCTCAACCTTATTTCTGTAAAAAGTAAAAAGGTAAAGCCACCTGCGAGCTTTTGAAACATGGTGAGCTGCATATTTATGTTCTGTCCAATACAGCGTGCTTTGATTGCTCGAAATTAAATTAATATTTTCTTCGTGAGGCATTCTGAGAGCAGTGCTAACTCACAAAGTTCCTAATGCAACCGGCGCTTGGATACCCACAGCAAATGGGTTGATTTTAGAACAGGGGAATTGCGGAACAGGCTGTAATTCAAAATGAAATTGTAATCAATAAATCAGAGAGGTTACGTTTAAATTCATAAACGCTGACCATAAAAATATGTGCAGCACCATTCTACTTTAGAATTTCTTCGGTTTACCTATACAATTCAGTGTATTTCATCCTTTTAAGATAAGAACTTCTGAATGTTCAACCATTTAAAGGTATAGTTTAATGGATGTAGTTAGCCCAAACGACCATTCGTGATACGAAGGGAAATAAATGCACAATTACCGTAGGCGAAAAATGCGTCCTATGATTATCTACCCAAAAAATCAGAGTCATTTTGGTAGGCAAGCTCTCCCGCTATTCTTACCCAGGTTTAAAAGTAGTGCTCTTGGGAAACCATCGAGGGAGGAAAATTTATTATTTCATTAAATCTCCTCTCAAGGCTCTCAGGAGTTTCGCAATGATAAAAATCGAGGACCAACGCGTCCAGGGTGATTTGCTCTTGAAACCAAAAAGGTGAAGGCAAGGTGAAGCAAGATTGAAATCTGGGAGTAATGAAGCGGTTGGCTATGTCAGCGAGAAAAAGTACCTGAATGGAGGAAATCGGAGAGTGGATGCTTTGCCATGACAGCTCACTGGTCAGCCCACATAACGTATAAAATCAATAAATTTTTGGTACAAATCGGCATCGCACCGGTTTTCTATGCCCCTCGTTTGCCCGATTTAGGGAAAACGCTTCCTGCAATGTGAATTAATTTAAGAAAAACAGCACAGGAGGTGCTCGATAACATTATTCCAGAGGAATAAAAAGGCCTGTTGTTCCAATTACATATTATCTACTGGAGCCAAGTATGACGGGGATTAACGTTTTTAATATAAAAATGCAATTAAGCAATCCTCGCATTTGGATAAATCGTAGTATTTATTCCAAGTCTATTTGTATGGGTTAAGACCTTAAGAAATAATATCCTTTTTTCAAGTCATACAGAGTTCGGTAAAAAGACCGTAGCTTAAAATCCCGATTACTAATAATACGACTCTAGCACTTTAAAAACAATTTTATCTCAAAAAGCTAATTTTTGAATTTGATACGTGAGGTGTTTTCGTTAAGTGTTTGACTTTTATCAACTCTTATGGTTAGATACAAAACCTTAATTGTATGAATAACAAAAATACGACTGCCAATTTTAGTGAAATAAACATCATTTTTATTTATGGGCAGCTTGTTTTAGCACTTTGTGAAACCGTTTTATATTAAACGGAGGCTAAAGGCATCTTAAATTGTTCAAACAGTATGTACTTTACGTAGTACACATTTGATTACTGAAATTAAATTTACATAACCAGAACATATTATGTGTGTGTAAAATCAAGGGCGAAATCTCATAGACTGAACATGGTTCAGTTGTCTTTCAGGAGAATCAGTCAGTGGGTTTGAGCGTCCTGGTAGAACTGATGTTTTCTTCCAGAATAATCATAACCAATCAACGATAATAGCTTTTTCTCCATCCCTTTAAATGCATGCTGGATGTTTTTGCTGCTTTGCTGAAAGTTAGAATTCCCTAAGGCAGTTAAGATTTGGACATCGTTTACGTCGACACTCATGTCGTGGAAAGACTGAATTTGTAACTGTTGAGGCCGCACTAAAAGACCGTATTTCAGCTCCAGATTATATTGCATTCCGTGTCAAGAAAGAGGCAGAATCTAACGTTTATAAAGTTCCTTTGTAATGCTTCCCTGTCTTGAAATGACTTCTTCAAGAGGATTAAATTTGAGAAGAATTCCTAAAACACTACGTACACATTTCTAGAGCACACCGCATTATTAATACGTATGTTCAATAATTGTTTTTCAAACTTGCTGGAAAATAATTCTTGCGTGTAGGCTAGCTACTGTCCTGTTTAGTGAACTGGATGCTTCTGGTGGCACACTTTATAGAGTTGCCCGTGAGCGCCTTAAGAAGACACGTATCGACTTGGAGGATGCATTATGTAGACGGATTTTGTTGGCCATCTGGCTGAAACATCTTTTTTTGTCTTTTCTCAGCAAACTGGGCTTATTCTCGAGGGATCAACCCGTCTCCAATTCAATATATATTCCCGAGGAAGCAAAAACCGGTGGGTTGTTTTCTAAATTTAAATTTATTTTGTTTACATTTTAAGAAATATCCAGCAGCACACTGATGCGCACTCATTGGTGTTTAGTAATCTTCATAAGTCCATGGGATGCCTGGCTCCAAGATTGTCAAATTGTATAGAAAGCGTATTGTCCTGTGACAAGGACTTTTCCATTTAAATGTGTTCACATGTCCTGAAGTTGGCTAATTTGTTTGATTTTAGTGGAGTCTTTCGGGAGTTTCCGGATGATATCTTTCTGCCAATTGCCTATGCTTCAACTGTAAGTCATGGCGATGCCTGATTCACGACCCTATAATAGTTGCATATGCGGTTAAGCTAGCATAAACGGAGCGCGCCGACGCCTGAAGTGTCTAGAGCCTCCTTGCCCAAACTCCCCGTTCCTTACCCCAAGCGTAATTTAATTCTTCCCTCCACCCAAAACTAAGAGCAAGACTGAGAAGGTCAACTGTCTATTAGACGGATGACGACAGAAAGCAAAAACCACACAATTCTGCATTTCGTGACTGGTAGTAATGGGTGTTAGACGGACAAGGTAGCATAGAGGCGCAGGAGAGGACGTAAAATGCAAAAAAGCGAATAAACACGGACGTTATGTACACGACTCGTGTCAGTTCGAACAAGGCCAACAGGAATACAACAGCGTGGAATACAACTGGTGT